CAAACCTTCCTGCCTTATACATAACCATTGTAAGGTATTTTTGTTCCATCTTATTTTTATTCATAAAACTGATTTTTATAATCAGTGATCATTTAAACTTATAAATGTTAACCAGTTTACCTGCTTATGATTTCTTGCATCATTCTCCATTCTTTTAGATTCAAGTCCCTCTTTCTGAAACCACAGCTAAAAATTCTTTTAACAAGGGTCCATGAGTAGTAAGTTTTCAGCTTTTGTTCTTATTTCCTCTTATTCCTGAAGTTTAGCAAACTACGGAATGCTACTTTTCTATTTACTGTTTTACTGAACAGTTTGAAGGTGTTATTCTACTTTCTTATAGCATCTATTATTACTATGAAGAAGTCTAACAGTATAATTGCATTGTTGGTGATCAGTCTTATTCTCTCAGGCTTTTTTTTTAAATTTAAATTATTTTATTGTTGTTCAATTACAGTTGTCTGTATTTTCTCCCCACCCCTTCCCCCAATGCCCTCCAAATCCACCTCCCTCCCTTGTTTCCACCCTCCCCTTGGTTTTGTCTATGTGTCCTTCTCAGGCTACTTTTGAGACTTTCTCATTGCCCTATATATTTCCTGGCTTCATAACAAGGAAAGTCCACTGGAGATTTATTTTTACTTATCCTGCTCAGGACTCATTGTGCCTCCTAAATCTGATGGTTTATATATTTTATAAAACTCTAAAAAAAATTCTTTTAGCTATTACTTGCTCATATATTTCCATTCCTCCAGTATCTCCTTCTTTAAAATCTTAATGGCAATAGGCAGGACTTTCTTATTTTCTCATATCCTATTCTCCATCTCTGTGTTTTTGTCCTTTGTTCTGCATTTCTTTGGATTACCTTTCAGTTCACTGATTCCCTCTCCAGCTGAAATTAATCTGCTACTCAACCTGCCCACTTTGCATTTAATTTCAATGACTATATTTTTCACTACCAAAAGTTAACAAATTCTATTTAAAATTTATTTTTTTCATCGTGCCTTGTTCTTATATTTATCTTTCATGTCTTAACAACTTTAACACATTTTAAGATACCACTTCTATTAAAGTTTAGAAGTCTAATCTCATTAGTTGTATCCACTGTTTGTTCCTCGCACAGAATGTTTCATGTATCTTACTTACCAATTCCGAACTGTTAAATTCACCAACAAGATTTTTGTCTGTGAAAAGTCCATGTGAAATACTTTGCCTTCTCACACAACCAAATCTAAAAACAACAAAGTTTTAGCAACAATAAACACAGCCAAGCCACAGAAAATCGAACAATGCAGAGTCTGACAACAAGGAACCGCTCAGCTAAACTGGTGAGAGGGGCGGAGGCAGCAGCAGAGTGGGTAGGGCAAAAAAGATCCCCTGACCCAGGCACGCGGGCAGCCAAGGGCGAGGATCCCAGGTGTGGGGTAGTGATGGGCGGACCCAGTGAAGGCGCAGGGCAGCTGGCTGACCACGGTCCTGCATTTGCGCGCAGATAAACCAGTGAAGGGACAAGCATTGAGAAAGACCTCCCAGTGCAGGGCAGCAGGCTGACCGGGGTCACACATTTGCGCACAGATAACAGGTGGGGGGGGGAATGCTCCACCAGTGAGGGGAACCAGGGCAGAAGGGAGTGAAGAGGACCGCCACTGCTTCCTCTCTGACCCCGCCCCCACATACAGTGTCACAAACCAGTGACCTGGGTGGCCCCGCCCTGGTGAACACCTAAGGCACCTCTCCTCAAACGTAACAGACACGAACAGATCAAAACATGGCTCAAGGAGAACTCAGAGCCCCAGAGCCCATAAATCAAAGCGAACAAAAATTGCCAACCTATCAGAGGCACAATTCAAAACACTGGTGATCGGGATGCTCACAGAACTGGTTGATTTTAGCCACAAATTAGAGGCTAAATATGAAGGCTAAACTAATTGAAATGAAGAGAAATGCACAGGAAAGCAATAGTGACAGAACGGAAACTGGGACTCAAATCAAGGGAGTGGACCGGAAGAAAGAAAAAAACGACCAAACAGAAAAGGATGAAGAAACAAGAATTCAAAAAAATGAGGAAAGGCTTAGGAACCTCCGGGACATCTTTAAACGCTCCAACATCCAAATTATAGGGGTACCAGAAGGGGAAGAGGAACAGCCACGAGTGGAAACCTTATTTGAAAAAATAATTAAGAAGAACTTCCCCAATATGGCAAAGGAAACAGACTTCCAGGAAATCCAGGAAACTCAGAGAGTCCCAAAGAAGTTGGACCCAAGGAGAAACAAGCTAAGGCACATCATAATTACATTAGCCAAGATTAAAATGAAGGAGAGAATCCTAGAAGCAGCAAGAGATAAGGGGACAGTCACCTACAAAGGAGTTCCCATCAGACTGTCAGCTGATTTCTCAAAAGAGACCTTACAGGCAAGAAGGGGCTGGAAAGAAGTATTCCAAGTCATGAAAACCAAAGACCTACGACCAAGATTGCTCTATGGGTTAGCAACAGGGGAGTGGGAGAAGGAGAAGGGGGGAGAAGGTACAGAAAATAGATAGGGGAGAGGGTAAGGATAGTAGGGGAAATATAGAATCTAAAGAATTTGAGACATGTGGTCATGCACTAAAAGGGGGGAATGGTGGGGGAGGGGAATGAAGGGGGGAAATAGAACAAATGTAATGGCATAATCAATAAAATAAAATTTAAAAAAAAAAGAAAAGCCTATGACACCTGCATTAAGAACATACCATTCCAGAAAGATTTTTGCAGTTGTTTCTCACTATTGTTTTTATAGTAATATTTGGACTGGAGAGTACCCAAACTGGACAGATATTCTAAATTTAAGCCCAATACACCTAAGGACATGGTTATGAATCTTTAAAGAAGCCTGCACAACCCCTGACAGCCCAGGACACAAGTTCCTATATCATTTCCTTGACTTTTCCTGTTACCAATAAAGAGGTATTTTTCTTCTATAATATTCTTTGTGAGGATATAGCCCACTGAGGGTGTAAGACCCAAGGCCTATACACATGGACACCAAATGCCAAGCCCTCAGATTATGTATACTGAAAACTTTATTATCATCACCAAAAACACCCCAAGTCTCAGCTTTTGGTACTTTAGGCCCCGTTTATTTAATTCCATCTATTTTGGTTCCCTGGACATTTCCTTTACTCTAAGCTCAGGTACATAATTCAAAATATATATTTGTAATATTTACCTAGCACATCCTCAATGTTTCTGGAAGGAGGGCTTCCAGTTTATCTAATATGCCTGGTAGCTGGCCAAGAGTAGTAATTAATTTAGATTCAATGTTATTTAAAAAACACCTTTTATTTTAAAATGTTCTAAACAGTTTTTGTTACTAAGATTTTAAAGTCTGATTCACATTCACCCTTCCTAGATGGAGATGAAAGAGATACAAGTTAAATCAACTAATCACAATCATATTTCATAAAACTGTAAGGTTCAGTGCCACGTAAGTTCTTTTAAATCTAAAACAAAACATTTAGGAAAAAATGTCCACATTTGTTTGTTCACATAATCATGCTAGCCCTTTAACTCTAATTATTTTTATCTTGTCCCTTAAGAGTTCTGCCTTGCAAATATGTTACAATCTATAAGGAAACAAAATCTAAATTAAAGTATTAGAAGTAGTCCTATACTTGGTTTTTTATCAAAACTACCTCTAATCTTTAAGTACTCCTTAAAAAATAATGTCTAAGGTATGAGGCCTATATATTAAGCCCTGAAAATAAGTAAAAACATACATATTATAGAAAATAATTATATAATCTGTAAGAACAAAATTTAAAGGTAGTGTTTACCACTAGAATTATTTTTAATCCTGGAAACACTTATAAAAGTGGCACAGATTACTTTTTTTTAAGGTATAGAGAAACTTTATTGTAAGAGATTATTCCAGGAATAAAGGACTATCGCAATGAGATGTGTGGGGAGAGGGGGTAACTACTGCCATAATGGAATTCTCTGACCACTCTTATCTGCAACTGTTTCCAAGATCAGCTGGGCATTTCTTTTACAGGGAGCAGAGAACAAAAGCTAGAAAGAACTGACTGTGGGGACGTGGGATGAATGGGTGAAGGGGCCAGTGATCACCCTGCAGATCAGAGAATGTTTTATAGTGAAGCCAGCCTATTTTCAGGAGTGCTAAATAAGAAGGGGCTATAAGCTGGCCCAGAGTGAGGGTGGGTCAAAATTTAGGGGCCTAGAGGAAGAAGACTAACTGAAGTTTGGTCAAGTCAAGATAGCCAGTATTTTGTCCACATTGGTCAGAGTACGATCAGCTCAGCTAATCAAATATCATGCAAAAATAATAGGAATTTGAAGGGTGTGTGTCTGACCCTATCATAGATAAGGAGGCATCCATGAGTCATATCTAAATCACATGGGGAAGGCAGTTCCTTGCTGTAACCCGTTTTAGGAACACAAAAAGGTGGGGGGATTTCTTTAATCATTGGTTCACAGAATCTCAGCATTCAGATTCAAGTTCAACATTTCCAGAAGTCACACGATTCAAATTTGACATTGTCAGCATGCAGAGAAAACTCTCCACCAACTCAATGAAAATCTGAAGAGATATAGCAATAAGGAGTTGCTGGATTCTCAGGTGAGTCCACACCTCGCTCCCTAATTTTTCTCCCACAGGGTAAAGAGGCATCTAGCAGCAAGGCCTGTTGCAGGAAACAGGCAGCCTCCATGGAGTAACACTACGGCCAGATGCGGCCAGCATCCCACAGATTACTCTTCAAGGTAACTACACAGATGAGGAATTTTAAACATGACTATTTTCTAGTAACTGTATATATGATTATAACTACACATATGACTATAATTATATAATTACATATATAATTAGGCCTTAATAATTCAAAAAATTTTATATAGTTGCAAATACAACATTTAACTCTGCATCTTTAAAAAAAGAAAAAGCCAGAAAGTCTTTAATAGAAATACAATGAATAAAATAGTAAATATATTAACAAGCTTACCACTTACCAAATAATGTCAGTTTCAGTATTCTACTACACTGAATGGCAAAGGAAAGATCAGAACTATCAAAAATTGTTATAAGATCTCCATCTGTACAAAAAAAAAAAGAAGTTTCAGATTTGCATTAGCAGTAAACTAGGATATACATTAAATTAAAATCCAAAACCCAGATTGCATAACATAATTATAATCTCCCATAAAAACCTTAAACAAACATTAAGGGATCTAGGAAAAATGTATTTATTCCAAAAAATACTAGGTCAACTTGGCTTATTATTTTAATGACAAGGTATGTATCATTAAACAGAGCCAAAATATAGCTAACATTAATACATTAAGTCATCTTTTACTAGTTAGTCACCAGGAGATGCATGGTAACAATATCAAAATTACTGGTTTAGACTACATCTTTCCATTCCAGAAAATGTAAATATATTTATCAAAAGTTAAAATAATAAAGATTCTCAAGATTCAAATTTTAATTCTAAGTACACTAAAATGGCACTGACATAAATGGCAGGGAAGCCATATACTGAATGTAAAGGTAACTAAAAGTGTTACAAAGAAGATGTTTGCAGAAGTGCCCTAATGAATGGGTAGACGCTAGAATCTTTCAGGTCACTGACAATTTTAAGATGAAAATTATCAACTTACCCCCACCCCAAAAAATTTATATACACTAGATTCTGAAATCCCCTAGATCCCAAGGATAAAGAATATGATAATTAGCATATCAATTGCTTGTTTCAAAACTTTCAAAGGCCTAGGGGGGAAATAAATGTTCTCCAGAGAGAGCGGGGACAGAAAAGCAGCCACAGGCAGGAGTAGGTCAGGGCTTCTGCAGGGCATCTTCACAGACACAGTTGGGTTGGGCGGGAAGTTCTGTCCTCAGGAGGCTGAGAGACTGCTCTGCTACACCAACTTTAACACTGACTGTGCAGCTCTGGCAATAAAAGCCATAACAAAGAATTTTATAATTGTTTTTGGTTCTTTATAACCTGACCCACTTCTTGGAACAAACACATCTAATGTTCAACTTTAGGGATTCTACTCATAAACACATTTTTAAGAAAATATAGTATATATGTAAAAGAAGGAAACTTTGGTTGACTGTCCTTTTTCTGTTCTGAATTCCACAACCAGAAACAGAGTATCTCTGATGATTAGAAGTTTACCTAAGCCAGCACACAAGTTATAAACAGAAATCTGTACAATTCAAAACACTTAAAAATACCATGTAAAACAAATTTATGTGGTAACTACATGTAGAGAACAAGTTTTAATAATCAGGATACCCTGAGTTAGGGGTCCCCAAACTGCAACCAATGGATAAGTCCCTGTTTATAGACTGCAAACTAAAAATGGTTCAACATTTTTTAAAGGTTTTTTTTTAAATAAGACGAAGGGCTTATATGACTGATTCACAATGCTAAAATATTAATCTGATCCTTTAAAGAAAATGCTTGCTGACCCTGACCTAAATAAAAATAAGGGAGTTAAGAGGAAGCCAAATAAATAGGTTAAGATATGCCAAGTTTGAGGTAAAAGCAAAGCATTTCAAGTAAAATGAAAATTGTAAAATTCAAGTTGTAAACTCAAATAAAAAAATTTAATTTATAAAGTCCAAAAAACACTTAATAGTATGTAATTTAAACTGATAAATTAAAGCCCACATTTGGAAGTCAAAGATATGAAAGTTAGTATATTGTAAGTAGATGAGATTAATAGGGAAAAAGAACAGGAAGAAAATTGTTTTCCTTTATTGTTCCTGATCATGGGTGACCCTCAAAAATTAGTTTTGAGTAACATTAGTTAACATGTATTATAAAAAAATAAAGGAGAATTACACCTGTAGCTTAGCTGTTCATCAGTGATTTAAACTTACCTTCCATAGTATAAGTTGTCAGAAAGTAGCTATCCAACCAGAGATATTTCTCAACCCACTGACACTCTGGTCTGGATGATGTGATATCAGCAGAAATTATATAAATTCAAGGCCCACAGAGTACAACTGCCCATGTGTTTCCCTACAGTATACCTTCATCCATCTGCCTACCAGATGACACTGCTAAAGGTGAGTTTGTAAGCCTGTGCTGAAGATAGAACTGATGTCAACCTGGGTATCTGAATGATTTCTTGAGTGTTAACCACTGAGATTTTAAATTTTCTATTGTAACAGCTGTCATTACTGTTACAATAAACCAACAAAGAGAAGAAGCTATTAGTGAAAAAGAAGAAAATGGGGACAGCACAGTGTCAAAGATGTTAAGGAATAAGAGTATTTAGCCCAGGATGGTATGGATAGCAATGCTGAGTACTGAGATCAAAGTGAAACAGAATGGAAATAAATTCAGCAGTAAAAAAGATACTGGTAACCACCTAAAGTACAATTTCAGTAGTTGTTAACAAAAAGAACAGGTTTAAAGAAAAGGAAATGAACGTAGTCTACTACTACAATTCCACTGTGTTTGGTGAAACAATTGTTATGTTAAAATCCATCTCCTTAAAGATAGTTTCATGGTCAACTGAGTCTGGAAATACTGCATACTATAAATTGACAATATACATCAGCATAAAATCCTGCAATAAAAAACCACATCTGCCCTGGCTGGTGTGGCTCAGTGGATTGGCAACTGCCAATCAGCGAACCAAAGGGTTGCTGATTGGATTCCCAGTCAGGGAACATGCCTGGGTTGCAGGCCAGGTCCCCAGTAGGGGATACGCAAAAGGCAGCTACACACTGATGTTTCTCTCACTCTCATTCTCCCTTCCCCTAATAATAAACAAAATATGTTTTAAAAGAAAAGAACACATCTGTCTTTGTTTAAACAAGCTTTTCCATACTTGACTGACCATGCAATCCTTTTTCATTCAATACCTACTGACGTCCCTTTCACTTAAGGAAATATAAGCAAAAGTTTGGTTTTGAAAGCAAAAAGCAAGCCAGAATTCCATACACAGAAGAGAAAAAAATGCCTGTAAAATATATGTGACAAATGTCCTATTGCTTATACCCCTTTCTAATAATATATCCCTTATCTATTTTTCACTTATAAAAAAATAACTACACAAACATTCCATGAGATATTGTAAAAGAAGTGGGCACTCAAATTAACATGAAAGGGAACAGAATTTTTATTCTGAGACTGTTCCACGAAATATAGGCAAAAGAATACATATTATACTCATGTTTTAAAAACTAACTTTAGAAACACTCTTACCTTCATCTTTATACTTTATTGTAACTTCATCATTACTCAGAAGTTTTCCTCTGAAAACTCGTTGCATCATTAGCACTAATTCATCATACGTAATATCTTCATTATGAATGGGAATTCGTCGAATATCCTCCCCAAGTTGAGCTTTGATGATTAGCTTCCCACTTAGGTCCAACTGTCCATTCATGGTGGACTCCAGGATGTTAGATATATACAACTCTACAGAAAGACTGAGAAAATGGTTTTGATGATTAAACAGCTGTAAAATATATCTTAAAAGATAAAAAGCAAAGCTATTATTAGAATCTAAGAAATTCTGAACATCAAGAGACATTCACTCTTCCTATGTGACTATAGTCCTGTTAAAATGGTCTGAAGGTAACTTTACTTTGTTGTGTGCATAAAATAAATTTCACTGTTTTATGTCTATCACTATTTCACCCACATTTTAACTCATCTTATCTAACATTATCATTTAGATTTCTATTTTAACCTGTCTAAAACGTCTCCACTTCAGTGACCATCCTTCCTTCCAGTTGTTCAAGATATACATGTATTCTCTTTTCCTCACAACTTATATCCACCAAATTGCTAACAAATCTAAAACCTAGTTGCCACTACCTTCAAAATATCTCTAGAATGCAATCATTTACTATCTTCACTTCTAATAAGCTTGATCCAAGCCTCCATCATCTTTTGCCTGGATTATTGCAAAAGACTCTGAACTGGCCTGCCTGCTTTTTACCTTTGACCACTTCTATCTATTCCCAACACACCAGGCCTGTCTCTTCTTTTCAAGACCAAGATGTTCTTGAATATATTACCTATAACCACTGAACATTTCCCCTAGCATCAATTCCTTTCTGCTCCTGCTCCAAGCAAATGATCTCTTAGAAAGTTTAAAGTATCTAAACTTCTACTGGCTACGTTCTGGTTTCAACCTCATGCTTTACTACTAGCAGCTTTCTGTTTTGTTTTCTTCCCTTAAATCTGTTATTTCATTAACATCGTACTTTGTTTCCATGGTTATTTACAATTATTGTGTGTGTATGTGTGTGAAGAAAGCAGCCCTCCTCCCCCCAACACATCTCAATCCTTAAAATACTTGAAATATTCCTGAATTCTAATTCATTTTGTGAATATTACATAAATGCCCCATGACCTTGCAACTAATCCTTAAATGAATATCTCACCATCCTTTGAACAGATATTTTATTGATAAATCTTTAATGCCCCATCTTAAAATAGGACATTAAATATTGAATCGGACACTCTAAGGTCAATTCATAACAGAATGAATTGTGTTATACAATCTGGATGCTGTGTTATCTTAATGTAAAATAAGAATCCAGTTAGTTTTTTATTTGCAAACTCTCATAATGGACTTCTCATGAAAACTATGATTAACTGAAACCTCTAAACAACCTCTTCACTTGTTAACCAAACCTGACCTCTTCATTCAGGAAAAATTTACCAGAATACATATTATGTGCCAAGCTCTGAAGTACGATTACTTCAACAAGACAGTGAAGATACCCTTTGTTTGCCCTATAGCCTAACACACAGGTGGCAAATACAAGGCCCTTCCTGAATCCGGTCCTTCACCTTGTTTTATCCAGCCCAGCGCCTTGTTTCTACCCAGCGGCAGTGTGGAGCTCTCGCTTAACTGTTAAGGAGTAGTTACATTTACAGAGTCCTAAAATTACATTCGGCCCTTTGAAGGCAACTGCGAGGCTGATGTGGCCCCTGGTGAAAATGAGTTTGACACCCCTGGCCTAACAGTAATAAAGAACTTCAAAAGATATTGAAGAGACACTGTTCTCAACACTAGAGAATAAAGTGACATGTCCAAGGACACATAAGATAACTGCCTCTTGAACCAGGATCTAGGTTCGGTGGCTAAGCCCCCAACTCCACTAACCTTAAGGGTAGGGCCCTGCTCAAATTCAGAGGGGTGTGATTAAGCCCATCCAGAGGGTAGCAATTTACTTTAAGAAATTCTAAGTAAAATCACCCCGTGATTATTCCGAAAATCCACAGAGCCTCCCAATTCTGCCTGACCAGAAAAAGATGGTCAAGATTCTCACTACAAGCCATGTGATCTTAAGCAAGTATTTCTGGAAGCCTTTTTTATCACATGCAAGAATGGGAATATCTAAATCTGGACCACGCATCTAAAATTCTTTGTACAGTGAGTATCAAAGTAAACTCTTAAAAGTTAGCCATCATGCTCACTACGAAACTGGGTCGGGTCTTCAAACGGCACTTGATTAGGTGCTGACATAGACAAAAAAAAAAACAAAAACCGGTTCTCCTTACAAGACCCCAATTAACTTATTCCCATAGGCACCATTTTCCACCCTTCTCATCCTTCCAAGCCCCTCTGGAGGTTAGGCGCCCCGACCACCACAGGCCTTCCAAAACACCTCTCCTGTCCGTCCCGCTGTCCGACTCCTAGGGCCAAGCGGAAAAATCAAGACAGCACTTGCTGGCCCAAACATCCCCCGAAGCCCCCTGAGACCCGCCTCCCAGCCACCCTGGACCGCTCCTCCCACCGCGGCGGCCCCTTCCCCCACGCCTGGCCCCGCCCGGCCTCTCTCGTCTCCCCTTGCCGCCCCTACCCCAAGGCCCCTCCGGCCCCACCCGCGCCGCTGGCAACCGCGTTCGAACGAGGCCCTCTCTGCGCTTCCTCGTCTCCCGCCCGCCTAGTCCTAGAGAGTGGCTGCACCCCCGTCTCCACCAGCCATACCCGCTCGCCGAGGCCGCGTTGCCGCCTCTCCGCGGGTCTCCGCCGCCGACCTGACCCGTGCAAGGCCGCTGGACTTTGGGACGTCTGTGGCGGCTTCGGCCACAGCCCACTCCACCGCTTTCCTCAGCTGCTGCACCTCGCTTGTGGAATCACGCAAGCCGCGGCCAATCGCACGGACGCACCAAGCCTAACGAGAGCTCAGGCCCTGTACGTGGCAGGTGAGGGAAGAAAGGGGGCGGGAGCAAGGAAAAAAAAAGTCCTTTCGCCCCGCCTCACTGCCAGCGCTCCACCCCAGAACGCATGCGCAGTGGCAGGGACGTGGCGGGGCGGCCAAGGTTCGGGCGTGCGTGAGGCGGAGTATCTGCTTTCTCCCGAGATCACGGAGTATAGGAAGTTTGAGCTGAATGGATTCACGCATGCGCTGGGTCTGAGCAGGCACTTCCGGTTTTCCAGACAGCTTGTACAGTGTTTCTGGCCTATCACTCGTAGGCGGGGTGTAGAGTGTGGTGTTCTGGAATATTTTTGAGAGTTGGTTTGAAAGTGGGCATTTGTCCAAGATTGCGTTTTGTTTTGTGACCATTGAAGTTACCCTCGTCATATTTCGCAAAGCCTAACATTTTCCCGCCTCTCTTGTACAAACTCATTCATTCATTTTTGGGCGCCTACACTTTGCCAAGTACTGTGGTGGGAATGCAGATGAATCAGTTTGTGAGCAAGGAGTTTCCAATAGCGTTTATGCGACAGGACAAACCTGTGGGTGTGTAAGTGATAAAGGCTGGGAAATTAAGACTGATTCATGATTCCAGAAGCCTTTTCGGAAAAGGCATTAGGCTGTGTACTACATACTCTTTCCGTCTCTCTTACCCAAAAACATTTGTTTTTATTGTATGTATTTATGTAAGAAATCCTGGCTCAGACTGAACCCTACATTGGGGTGAGGGTAGGGGGTCTTGAAATTTGGGGATGAGGGAGTGATATTTTCAAAGTTACAAGTTTTGCCTTTTAAGACAGAGACAAGGCAGTAAGTAGTTTGAATTCACCTGTTCCCCCACTTATTCACCAGCTAGAAGGCCCTAGGGTAAAACAAATTCAAGGTAAAAAGTCATGTTTTTTAGTACTGTAAAAACTGGGATTTTTTTCAATACAAGTGTGTTTGAAACTGAAATACGTGACCTTAGAAGACTTGTTGCCTCTAAATTGTATTTTGCAACATTTATGCCTTGTTCTTTAAGCAATTAATTGGTTGCAGGAATTGGGGAGCCAAGTTTGATAGAAGGAATGAAAACAGTCCTTCACCATCTCCGAAAATAGTTCTTTGCTTGCTATGTAGAACTAAGTAATCCAGATTTGGGCAAGTGGACTGCTGTCCAATAATAGTATTGTTATGTCTTTGAGTTTGTTTGAAATTGGATAAAAACACACAAATATGGACGAAGGTAAAATATTCTCACCAGGAAGCCAATACTGCCGCCCTCAATCTTTCTATAAAGAGGTCAGGTCCTGGGGCAGGAGATTAAGGGGATGAACCTTTGCCCAGAATAAGGGGAAGAATTTCTTCTCTAGGCTCCCAAGAAGGGATGATCACTCAAGAATCCTGCCATTGAGAGGAAAGAAACTGATCCCTGTTACACTGGGACCAGCTGGAAGCTAGGAAGATAGGCACTTATAAGGTGGGGCTGGGATTTGTGGACTCTGAAAGCAGCTGGAAGTTCTTTATAATTCCCTCATACTACATCCTCAAACAATTACTGAAGCCTTATTTAATGTTAAAACCTGTTCCTGGCTAGCACTGTTCAGGTTGAGAGATGGGATAGATTCCTTGGGTCAAAGCAGAAGCAGGAACTGCCTGAGGTAGGAGGTGAGAAATGGGAGTGTAAAGCATTAATTGGAAACCAGATCAGAGGCTCAGGTGACATGAGACAAGAACATTATGTAACATCATGAAGCATTAAAGCATTTCTCCAGGATTCCCCAGAAACTAACATTTTAAATTTTTTAATAAAGGACTATAAAAGGTTTTGCCTCCTGCTATCCAGCTGGATACAGGCTTAAAATATTGTCTTTGGACATGAAATTGAGGACATTTGGCTTTGTTTATATGTCATATAAGAGCATGTATAGATAAGCATGAAAAATTATCATTCAAAAAATTATCAATTATCCGAGTTTGTCAAGTTGCCACCTTTACATTATAAACACCTTAATAACCAAAGCCATATTCTACCCATTTTCATTTCAGCTTAATACTAAATTCTCCGCAAAACTTTGGTGACTGTTCCTGTCCTTGATCTTATATAACAATTACATTGTTTAAATTAATTTAAGAGCACAATGAACAGCTAGAATTTACTGCACAATCCAAGCAATAGAATATTACCAATTGTCCTCCTGTATACTCTTCCCCAATGTGGTCCTCATGCCTAGCTCCTAAATTTTGTGGTTATCTTTCCTTTGGTTTTGTTGTTTTTTTTTCCAATCATCTATATTGTTTAATCACATATGTAGTTATTGGAATATGTTCATTTTTACTTGTTTATAAACATTATATAGAGTACATATCTATGATTCAATGGGACATAATATTTGTACTCAATACATCCCTGCTGTTACATGCATCTGGAGTTCATTTATTTTCATTGCTGAACCATAGTCCTTTAGGGAGGTATACCACACATTTGTATTTCTAGTTTCTGCTCTGTCTTTGAATATCTTGTTCACCACCACACCACCCTCCCCCATCCAGTTTGAAGCCAGTGATTGTATTCTGTCTATCCCTCCAACATCTGGAATTGACTGCCCTGTGTGTGAATAGTAGGCATTTAATGAATAGTTATTGAGTCAATAAAGTAGTTATTACTGTTTCTGTAATGTGTCCACAGATGCTGATGCTACAGGTCTCTGTGCTGAGGCTCCCGAAACATAAAAGTGATAGCTGACCACAGAGTAATAACCTGAGTTGAGCCAGTTACCACTGCTACTAAAAATATGGTTTCTCTGAAGCGTGTGGAAACACTGATTTTACTTACTGCTACCTTTTGTTACTGAAGCTAACAAGGCTGTTATCATATAAGTATCACTTACTAAGTACTTATGGTCACATTTATTGGGATAGGCATCAAGCAACTCATTAAGATTGTTCTAGAATTCCATACGTAATCACATCTTTAAAGTACTGTTAGAAAATATTTTACCTTTTGTGTGTGTGGATCTTAGAAAGGTACTGAACCAGAGACAATTGAACTTCATGCTCACCTAGCCCTCTATGTTATGTCCAGGCAAATTTGGTTTTCAGTGAACACCAAGAATAGCCCTGAATCAGAAATGTCAAAGTTTGAAATACATGAAGAAAGGAGACTCAGTGTAAGGAATTACCTTTGACCCCACTTGTAGCAAGGGGAGAAATGAGGCTCGATGTTCAAAGGTTACTTTCCATGTTTCACAGACAGAGTTATACTGTGGTTTTGAAAGAGGTGTACCTACCATCTGCTCTCTCTCCCTGAAAGTCTGTTTGTTTAGAACTCTTCAAACAGAAAAGGAGGAATCCTAATGTTGGGGGAAATTGATGGCTATTTTAAGACACAACACAGTGACTAGAGAGTGATTTGTTTTTGCAGCCCGGTGGCTTGTTTTGGCCCAAAGAAGCCAAAAGCCTCTTTTGGCTTCTCTGAACCACTTATCGTCTACATACCAGAGATAACACTCTGCTTTCTGCTTCTGTAACTGCCTCCTGCTTTCACACCAGAAGTAAAGGGTCTGAAGGACCAGCTCTATAAAATTAACTGCTCCCCCGCTGCTGAGTGCCCAGAATTTGGAGACTGACTCCTCTGAGTTCGTACACATAATAAACTTCCACTCCGTACACCCGAAAGCAGCTGAGTTGTTTTCTATAACATTTTGGTTCCCTGACTGGGAAACCACACTCACGTGAGCAGACCTTTTTGCCTCTGGTGAGGGGGCGACCGGGGAGTGACCCAGAGGGAGCCCTGGAGGCCGAAGGGACGCTCTCGCCCTGGTGATTTTGGGTCCCAGACACCCCGGGCTCCGTGGAAGTCATCCTCCAGAACGCTCTTCAACCCCAGGCAGGCAGGGTGCAGACTGGAACTATCCAGACCTGAGAAAGCGCCGAATGGTAAGTGCCCCGGGGACCAGAGCCCAAGACCAGCCCACCCCTTGCTGTGGAAGGAGAGACTGATCACCTCTCAGGCAGGCAATTAGCCTTAAGACCTCTGGAGGCTAATTAATTGGCCATCTGGAAGGGGAAACGTATCCCCACCTGGGCAGTCGTACTCGGGCAGGACTGTATAAACTCTTGGATGTTTGTCTGTGTGTTTGTAGGAGTGACTGTGTTTGTGGCTCCACGGGTGAAAAACCTATGGAGCCAGAGTGACCCCCCCCCCCCCGCCCGCTGGAGGGACTGGAGGCAGCGGAGGCCCACATGACCCCCTGCACCTGGTCCTGCTAAACGGGTCGCCAAGGAGACAAGCAGGACTACCCCAGCCAAGCCTCCTTGATTGAGCCAGGAGCAAGCTGTGAAGACCTCCTGGGTCCGCGCTGGTGGCCCTGGCAGTGGGTCCTTTAAGAAACCACATACTTCCCTGGAACAGGGAACCACCGGACTGCCTAAGCAGAGGAACCAAGAGTGAAAAAAAAAGATAGATAAATCTAGATAAGTAGAAATATATATTAAAAATGTGAAAGTTTTAAACCTGGAGTGAAGGAAATCTCACCTACTTGTTTTCTGATTTCATGGGAAAAGAGCAACTTTCTCGCATGTGGTTCTGTTTCTGATCAGAAACCTGTATTGTAAGACCTAGGGAAGGTCACCTGTAGCTGGTTGGGGAGAATGCCTTTGCCACCTGGCACCCAAATAAGGGGGGCTTCAGCCTGAGGCAAAACACCATGTCTCTGCCGTGAGACTGGGCCTGAAAGAGCATGTCTCTGCGAGGCACCAGTGGACACATTGGTGCAACAGAATGCCTCTACCTGTGTATTGTTTCAGAACTCTGTGTTTTGGATTTTGCTCTGTATCTGCTCTGAAAAGGAAAAAGAAAAAGCCCACTGGCAGGTGACAAAGACCATGGTTATAGGTGCCTATAGTCCTCAGCCTAGCTGTCTTAGACCCAGACCAGACTGCCACAGGGCTTCAGAGGCCCTCCCACTCCCCTCAGAGGGGCCCTGGCCAGAGATCTGGAGTCGTTCACCGGGAGGGAGACTGACCCAGTGTTGCTGCAGTGTATGGGTGGCCTCCTTACCACCACACCGACCTGGGACGGGTGCTGGGAGGGCCCTTGACAGCTGTTCGAGCTGCTGGCCGGGACAGCGTGCTGGGCGTCCTTGAAGAAGGGGCGCAGGTCGGGGCAGGGTGAGCACACTGCGTGCTGACCCCAGAGCTCAGGAAGGGTGGAGCTTGTGGACCAGACTCTCGGGGAAGCTCTGGCTGGGTTCCACCAGGAGGCTGGACTGATTTGCTGCTGCTGGCGCTGCTTGGGGTTGGGAGTGCTCCTAGCTCTTTGGGCTGTGCCCTGTGTAGGGTGGTCTTTGGTGGGCCTCCTCCCATCCTCAGAATGGATGGGGGGACCTCAGACAGCAGGGGCTCCTGTGGTGACGTTGCCTTCTGGGGAGGTGAGGCCCACTATGGCTTCTCCCCACCCTGCAAGTGGAAGAAATTTCCACCACAGATTCGCAGCCTCTGCGAGTGGGCTCTGCTCACTGCTGCACCAGGGGCTTCGGGGGCCTCTGGGGCCTCCTTCGCTCTGGAGACTGGAGCCAGAGCCTCAGGGCTGCCAACGCAGCTGGGTGGAACCAGAGTCAGGGTGCTGCCTGCCATTTTGGGTAAAATGGATGAGCCACGTGAATGCCCCACCCTGGAGGACAGAGCGTTCATGGGTGTCGCCATCTTGGAACTGGCTAAGGCTTCTTTTCAGATTATGAGCTGCATGCTGCTGCTGTGTGGACACTGCAGCAGTCAGGTTCTCTGTGTAACTGGTTTTGATAGGAATGGCTCTAGTTTTGAAAGTCATGAACTGAGGTCCGAGGCTGACCATCTGATTTATAGGGTGTTTGCAAGGTCTAAGCTTCAGAAAGGTGAAAAATGTCCCTGAGAATCTAGAGACTTTTAGTAGAAGATGTCTATAATGCTAAGCACATTTAGCTGCCAGATACTGAGTTTAAGTACAGTCCTTCCCAGTGTGGGAAAGGAACAGGGATTAAAAGTGAATTATGGATAAATCTGGATAGGTAAAAAGACTGTAGAAGGTTTGTGAATATTGCAGAAAGTCTGTGGGAAGTTATAACAATAAATGGAAATGTGAAAGTTTCGGAAAGAAATTATGTGGTGTTAGTTATAGAAGGTATAAGGCATGGAGATGCATCTTGATGGATATTAGAAGGAGAAAGATTCTCCTTCAAGCTTTGTGTTTTTCTCCCTACCTGATCCCTCCAGAATTTGGCACTATAAAGGAATGAATGATGACGTAAGGTCTCTTTGCATAAAACCAATAGGACCAGTCATTAATAGTGGTTTTGTTAACCAGGACTTTGACTGGAATGTCACACCTGAAGGAGGCATGTATGGGATCTGGTAGTTACCAGAAAGCTCAGAGGAACTGGGATTGACCTGTGAAGCTAGCGAAAGCCCATAAGAAAATCCGGGTACTTTGGTTGGTTGTGTGGTTCCAGCCAGCCTTTCCAGGGAAGGAACGAAGGTTGCTTTAATGAAAGATGGCTAAAAATGAACCTGTAGGCACAGCTGGAAGTAGTTATAAAAAGATGAGACCTTCCTCCATTGTCCTGTATATGATTCCAGAAAGAGAAAGGAATCTCAGAACCCCTCCCTAATAATAAATCACAGGAGGAGAAAAATGATGAGGAAAGAAACCTCATTAATGCTCTGAATCCAGAGAAAGGGGGCACCTGTACGTTCCTAGGAGAGGGATGTTGCTACTATGTAAACCAGTCAGAGATCATAGCAAAGACAGTTAAAGAAATCAGAGAGAATATAAACCGCCACCAGAAAGAAACAGAAATGGGGACTAAACCATCAAGCCCAGCTCCACTATTTGCCCCCCTCCCTGGGACCCCTAATCATCATTTTCTCAGGCCTGAGTTTTGGCCCCTGTGTACTATGGACCAGAGTCTAGAGGCCACAGTGACTCACAAGACAACCACCAAGATCCTGTCCCTCCAGAGACATCATTATTAGAAGATACCCCAAGATTTATAGGCCAGCCTTATAGTGATGCTAGACCAGCTAACAGTGCTGTCAAGCATCAAAGAGGGGAGTGTTGGGGGAAATTGATAGCTATTTTAAGACACAGTGACTAGAGAGTGATTTGTTTTTGCAGCCCACTTGTTTTTGCAGCCCGGTGGCTTGTTTTGGCCCAAAGAAGCCTAAAGCCTCTTTTGGCTTCTCTGGACTGCTTATCGCCTACATACCAGAGATAACACTCTGCTCTCTGCTTCTGTAACTGCCTCTTGTTTTCACGCCAGAAGTAGGGGTCCAAAGGACGGGCCTCCCTTGCTCTATAAAAATAACTGCTCCCCCACTGCTGAGTGCCCAGAATTTGGAAACTGACTCCTCTGGGTCCATGCACGTAATAAACTTCCACTCCGTACACCCGAAAGTGGCTGAGCTGTTTTCTGGAACACTAAGAATGAAGAAAGGAGGTTTGCAGAGTAGACAGAAAATGGAACAAAAACTATGAGCCTCGTAAACAAGTTGGATGAAACTTGTGTTTCATTGTCTCCTTTAGTATTTAGTATAAGTCATTCTGAAAATTTCAATCACCTGAGCTACCCTCAGGGGAGACAGAGAAAGGATGTAAGTTTCTCCTGGGGTGAGAATCTCAAAGAAGTTATATCCCTCTTCAGAACAGCTCTGTTGTGGCTGTGGTGGCAGTCAGCTAAAAGAGCAAACACCGAACAGAAGGGGAAACTTACTAGAACCAAATAGAGGTCAGTTGGTCAGATAAGCCTCCCCAGCATTGGCCAAACAGGAAGATCTGTTCTTATAAACAAAAGAAGCTGCCACCCCATGCAGAGTTAATAAAGGAAAAAACTATATTCTTACTATGCATCTTTGAGTGAGTCATTCGCAAAGCACTTCAGTCTGCCCTATCAGTTGCACCTCCATTGAGATACTAAAATGTTTTTGCCTTACCAGGGGGTTCTATGTCCAACCTCTGTATAGAGAAATTTCTCCTTGAAGATAGTTCTTCCTCTAGTATAACCCTGGAAGTTAGCCCCCCCGCCTAGGTATTTAATACATGTTTATTGAATGAAAGAATGAGAACTGGTAGGGCCATCCAGAAACAGGGAGCAGCCATCACTGATGAGTTCCTGGCTCCCAATGTTACCAGGCAGGTTCTGGGCAGGAGCTGTTCCGCCTTGGGCCAGCCAGTAGCCTGCAGGTTCTGGACTTCATGCAGGGAAGATTTCACAACATGTGTCCAGGTGATTTTGAGAGTCTGCTTATTAAAGCTGGGGACAGTGAAACAAAGGAAGGGCTTAAGGGTAAAGAAGCAACAGGAGAGAGCCTAGGCAGAGCTGCTTTGTCTTACTGAGAACTGAAAGTCACTGTGACAGAAGTGAGCCAAGGCGGGGTGGCTGTAGCTCACTGGAAAATCAGAGAAAAAGGGGGCCTTGGAGACAGGTTCAGAGAGTAAGCCCAGGTCAAGTTGCCACTGCCCATTGTTCTCCTGACTCCCACTGTGCTGTCTCCATAGGCTGAGACTGGGGTTCGTTACCCCCCATTTACTGCTGTGGGTTGTATTCCTCCTAGATTGTTAGAGTGTGAGTAGGATATTGAAGCATGTTGATGTTCTACCTTGAGTGAACCTGCATTCCATAAAAGCTGAATGAATAGCATAGTTAGCTGGTGTGACTCTTGTCTATTTCTAGGTGCCAGGTTGCTCTGTAGGCAGTTCGCCAAGCAGTCGCCAGCTGACTTATGGGAAAGACTATAACACAACCCCTTCCCAAGGGGGAGCTCACAGCTGCAAGTCTCATGGGATCCCTTAGAGTTCAGGAAAAAGAGCAGAGATGCAAGGTGTGGGCGTGCTCTAGTAAAAGCACAAAATTATGTCTTGTGCCCTTTGTCTTGAGGCTTTTTATCTTGCTTTGGCCTGTGGG